ATATATAAGCTATTACACTTAACAAATGACAATAATAATACCACTCTAAACAAATCATGTATTTTCATTTGACTCCACTTCAGCTCACGTATGTAGAACCGAGACAGTACCAATGTAACTAAACTTTAAGTTACTGGGCTTATGATGGCTGGGTTACTTTCGTTGATATTCACATACTTAGCAAAATTCGTAATCTCCACTGGTTTATGACGGTTTCTTATAAATTATTTATATTGCGGGGGGACCTCATGCTACTCAACTCTAGAGAAGCTGAAGCAGGGAAAACTTGCTACATTTATTGCGTTCAAAGGTAAGTCGGGGTTAGAGATTTCTATATCTGGCTAAGTTATTAATGTATTATTTATCTTAAAATTTCGTGCCTACCGTATATTCGATATGCCGTGTCCTCGTAGTGGAACGAGAAGCCTGTCTTCACGGCCGTAAGCTTCTAAGGTAACTAAGCTCCCCTACATTATGATAAGCAAATGCTAAAAACCAGGAATCATTTAAGTGTTCTAATGGTAAACGTCCGAAATTATCGACGCCCCTTTATTTATTTTGTTTTTATTACCACTGTATTTATTTATTTATGTTGTTTTTCGGTTTATACACCAGATTACTAGATAAAAAGTATCGTAAACTTCGTTCAACCATTTCCAAGAACCACCAAAATAACGCAGCCAACATGAAACAGCACACTTATGTAGTTCATGGTTACTGCCAATGCTAAACATTTAGTCGGTATCTAAGGGTCGCCTGAACATGTCAATGTGGCTGGATGGACAAGGAACAACAATTCGTTCGTTTGTACTTGCTTTAAATTCGTTTTATTTTATATTAGGTATTTAATTTACTGTTTTATTCGTTCCGCTGAACGCAGTGCGAGCATGAATTGCTCTTTTCATAAAGGGAATTATCATGCATGGGCTTCTCTATAATAATCTGTACTGCTGCAGTATCTGTAATACTGTGTGTGCGGACGATCACGCTAAAAGGGGCTAGCCATGCTACCGCGCACGCCACAGCTTCGTTCTTGCTGTAACACGACAATAGCTCAGCGTGCATAGTCTTATCCAGGACCGATGTTTTCGTTATCTCGAATAAGGCTCGACAAGGCCCAGGTCGACAGAACGTTCCAAATCTGCATAGTAGCATTCAAAACGCGGTGCCGTTATCAACAGCTCCACTTACTATTATAGATCTCTTGCTTTCTTTCTTTATATAGATACAGAAAGGACTACTTATTAAGTTTGTCTTTTTGGACGGCCGTGCTATGACGAAATATATACTATACAAAAGCTATGCTACTTGTTAGCCGATGACCTACTTCGATAACAACGTTACCACATTTGAATACACGTGCACGGCGTTTAGGCCCATAGACGCACGCCGTCCTAGATAAATTAAATTATTATCTATAGGCCCGCACAATGAGACGTGCAGACAATAGTCGCCTAGAACTGCCAATTTGACTCATATACCTGACGAATTTTTGAATTAGTTCTCGTTCGGCACAAAAAAATAATGGCGTTCACGGAGAAGCGTGAACAGACGGCATCATCATTCCAATGGTCGTACAAATTTGTCACTAAGACATAACCAAGTCCGTTCACAATACAAGGGTCATCACGGATTTTCATATTGAGAAACTCTGTCTGTCCTAATAATAATTGTCATAAAACGAAATAGAACATTTGTCTATGTATGCAGTTCCCTGATGCTGCCTTAACACATGCGAAAGTAAAGATCAGGTAAATATCAAAGAAGGTGCTAAATAATTCAAGTTTCGGTGGGCTCACAAGCTTGGTTTGGTTAGGTTAACAATTTTTACATTGAGGATCCGTATGTGTTTCGACGTTGGAGAAACAAGTGGTTTGTGGGTGAACGTGTCATGCTCGGTGGCATACCGAACGGTCTGCCCCTTTTTGCAGCCGTGAAAACCAGTTAGTTTATTAGCGTGTTTGAGGTAAAACAAATTGTCAAGTATTACTTCTTCGTTTGGTACAAACAAGTTCGCGGGAAGCAATGAAAACGCCGCAGACAGACGCAAACATGCTACCGATTTCCAGCTGTTCATCGTTCAACAACATTGCGAGTTCGCCACATTGTCACTAATCTATTTCGCTAATCAATACAAAAATGCTCCGATGTTTCCCATTTAAATTGCCTTTTCTCAAAATCGCCCCCAAGTCTAAATTTAAGTCAAACAATTGCGACTACAATGGCTTGACTATGGCTTTTTTCATACAGAAAAACCCGCTTTCGTTTCGTTGAAGACGATACAGCAAGCGCATTGAAACGTGAAGTGCATCGTTGAAACAAGGTAAAGGAGCCGAGAACTCGTAACGAAAAGAGCCTTTGAGAGCAAAATCTGTTTCTCTTAGTGACCCTCTTTTGAGATTCGGTGAGGACTTCGATTCTCGTTCGTTCTTGAAATGTCAGAGGGCTAAAATGAGAGAAAGCAGTGAGCCGCCATATGTGTAAACTGTTTTAGAAAACAGTAAGCTGATTACAGCAGCTGGACAAAGGCAGTTCGTCGTTATTCTATTTCTGGCTGATGCTACAGTAGCTAAAAGCGGACTCAGCAGCGGTACGATACATAGCTTGTGCAGATGGGCCCCAGATGTTCTGCCGTGGGTACAAGAGTTTCGTAACCAGTCAGCCGACCGACAGCTTGGCAGGCCACAGTGAATATCCTTAGACTTCAACGGAACTTGGCCCTTATTCAGCTATACACTTAACAGCAGTTTAATGCACTTAAAAAGTTGCTAATTGCGATCGTTACTTGACAGAGGTTCAGCCAGCCTGCATTCATTTCGGGCATGAGGAAGTACGCAGCTGCCACAGTTATTGTAGCAATGTAGTTCGTCTCGGATAGTGCGACAACTCTCTTGGCTAATTGCAGGCTCCGACAATGCATAGACAATCAAATTATCAATCATACAAGATGTCTGACTTGATTGATAATTTGATCAGAGCTTAGTCAAGCCTTCAATGGCGTCAGCAGTTACTAACAAAATCAATTTAGACTGACCCACGTGGAAGTTGCACAGGCAGACACCATGTTTAATAGTCACCGATAGTAAGCGCTTAATTAACTTAATGTATGCCAAGCGGCTTTTACGGCGGAGCGTAACAGTAACAGTCAACGTTGCATGATCGCACGTAATGCATGTGGATCTACTGGAAACACCTACCATGTTCGGGTGTGCGTGTCTCCTCTGCTGACTTGATTTACAATGAGATAATACCGTGTGCAGCACTCGTTTTTCATATAAGCAATTAAAAAGAAAAGATGTTTTTTAACATCTTGTAATGTGGCTATTAACACGACTAAAATAAATGTAATCTTGTACCAGTCATTTCTAATACTATACATATAAAAATTTCTAATACTATATACAACTATAATCATAATAATAATAATAAAATATAATAAAAGAGAAATTGTCAGCGGATCTCGATCGAACTCGACACACAGATCAGTCGTCTGTCCTGAACTGACAAATGTGGCACCCGCTTCGGGTGAATGCTTCATGCAATCGTTTCTACCAAGTGTTCAATGTTTCCACGATTTCATCAAATTTGGCTCGCTTCTTTACAAAGACTATTATCGTAGGGAGTTCATATTTATTTTCAAAGTTTACCAAGAATGAATCTTTCCTATATAAAGAAAAAAGGACCCATCACAAACTGTACGTAGGACATATAGTTCACCGATACCTTTCGAGCTACCTAGTGAAACGACAGCGCGTGGTCTCTTGCAAGAGGCATAATAGGACGCATCTGTTGGGTCGGTCCAGAAAGGAGATTGGGAGCTAAACTTGATTCGAGCAAAGGGAAAAGATATAAATCAATAACCGTCATCCTTCCCAGTCGGTCGATACGACAGCAGCCATTACCGAATGAGTGCGCTGCACAAACAGGCCATGGAAACAAGCCTTAAGGATAGATGGCCTGTCGTGATCAATATCCGTTTTGATGAGACGAAGCCATACATAATAGTTCATTATATACCGTTATGCATTATGTATTAGTGCAGTCGCACACTCCTGTAGCTCGCTAGGAAGGACGCACAAAACTGAAACCGCTTGTGATCAATGCCAAAAACAAAGCCACGTTATGTCTGCGTGCGATATTTTTGTCAAGGACAAAGACCTTTTAATCCAAATAGTACTGCAGTCGAATATATTTTGGTGGGGCTTTGCAGATCAGATTTGAACACAGTTGATAATTTACGCACGGAGAAGATCAGCAAATTCGAATAAGTGGAACAAATCTGCGAGTCCCTGGTGAAAGCGCCTGTCTAGGCGGCCAGTAACCATGTGGCCTAGCGACGGTGTCGAGAATACTCATTGATTCTAACATGACCTAATTTTTCTTTGAATCGTCCTTATCGATATGCAGCAAGGCACACGTAACCGTTTAACTAAGATGAAGCAAACCTAAACTTGCTTTGCAATCGTGGAAGGTGGCGAAATTTAAAACGCAAAGTTATTAAAATAGAGATTCGGGTTGCGTATGTTTACTACTTCCGTACTAAGTATGTTCTCCAGTTTAGGTTGACGTTGCGACAAACTGTTACTGATCGCTAAGCTAACTATAGTACTCTAATATAGCAACAATGAGCAGTTCAATGATCGTATCCGAGCTCCATTTTTGGCCAGAGGTAAAGGCTCGTATCCATTGCCTAGTGTGTTTAGTTCCAGTGACATATTATCCAACAAAATAAGAAGAAAAAAATGTATTGCTATAACAGCATCAGGAATAATCCACACCGCTTTGGCGGCAAGCATCAAGCTATCTACATAAACCCTCTGCAGGGAAAAAGTAATTTCGCTGGCGTCGGTCGTACAAAGACAAGTTCAGCAAACACCTGCGA